TTTTTTCAGCATATTTTTACCACCATTACACAGATAACATGAAAACCGTGTCATATTTTGCTTTAAAACTTTTAAGCCTGATTCATAGGAGCAATATTCAGATCAAATGTGAAAATAAGCCTAATCGGTTCAGTTTTGATGAAGTTATGCCTTTTTTGTATATAAATGGTTTTTACTCAGATTCAATTCATTTTTGATTTTGTTTGTTGTTACAAAAAAGTGTTAAAAATAGAAGTAAACTCGTTTCAGTACAGTTATAATTTTTTTTTTTTATTTTGGTGTTTTCAAGGTGTGACTGACGTTCCATGGGCCATGGCACTTATATTTTATTACTCAAATTGATGGTCATTATGTTGTCAACCATTATGTATGACTGGGTTTCCATACCTAAATCGATCTAACCTCCGTTAAGCATAATGTATTATTGCGTCACATCTAGAATTGACAGTATCCCATTGTGTTATTTTCAGTTTTTTGTCTGTACATTTGACAGCTTTGCTTTCTGTATTTTCGGAAGTCGCTATTCTAATCATACCTATAGAGAAGAGAGGCAGGAAGGGAAAGACCGCCTTTCTGCGTCTTCGTGTGCGGACAGCCAACGCCACCGATACCAAAGACTACGCAACCCAATTATTGAGCAAAAGGGAGCCACAACACGTGGGATATAAACCACAAGTCGTTTCGTTTCAGTCACCATTATCGTTGGAAATTCGCTTCTTTGATAACATGGTTTATACAAAATAAAGGGCCTTTTATGCACATTTTAGTGTGAATTGCCCACATTTCAGATATTTAAAACGTCTTTAGCACGTTTCCCGGTTAAACGAGGCAGAGGGTCCGTGTAACAGAAAGCCAGCCTTCAATTTAATTATGTTAGGGTTTGTCTGACCTAAGTGAGTTAAAATCTTGAGCGAGGTTTACATCCACAAATGAATGGGAAGCAAACTCCCCATCACTGGGAAAGTGGGGGGTGTCTCCGTCATGTTACACCGGTCTCGTTCGTACACAACGTGGGAGGGGAACGGTTTCATTTATACTATATATTTAAACCGCCGCCTACTTTCTCCATACAAAATAGTAATACTAAGAATCATCTCGTTTTGCCCATTGCCTTTATACGTGTCCAAGAGGACTAACCCAGACATGACAAGTTAAAACTTTGTAATTATGAAAGGTTGCGAGAGGGGAAGTCGTCCATCCGCGAAATATCTGAACACCTTTATGAAGTGTAAGCTTTTAAAAACATAAAAACAAGTATCTCATTCATTTTTTTATTTTCATTTTTTTTTCTTTTGCAGAAAAGAAATTTAGTGTCTCTTGATTAAATCCCACAAATCAAGGGTTTTCTTGGTTGTCCTAAGCATCTGTACGATCTTTCTTGAGAGGACCCTGGAAAGATAAAGAAATAATGTGAAAACAACTGTTAAACTCATGACTCTAATGTGATAGTGGTTATTGGTTGTTACGTTATGCACCACGATAAAGGAAAAATCATAATTCGATTACAGAGACTGCTACCTTGCTGAAGGTGCTGACCAATTTAAGCATGGGTGAGATCAAATTGTTTCCAAGTTTTGAAAAGAGAAGCATTTTAATTTCTCTTCTATCTGCACACTCACAATTAAAACGCTAAAAATGATTTTAAAAAAAGAAATAAACTGACCAAGAAGTTTCTCTTCTCCTCATGAGTCTGGAAGCGGCCATGGCCAAACTTGCTGGAGGTATCAATGAACTTGAGACTGATCTTCTCCAAGGCCTTCCTCTTGGTGTGCGTCAGCAGAGACTGGGGAAAAATCATGAAATTATATACCTCGACTCTTTGGAGTTTGTAATCTCCTGCTTACATGTTGTCCAAATACTTTATAAGACAAACATTTTCTGAAGCAGTTTATCATAAATTTACTACAACTGCAGAACTTCCATAACCTGTCATTTAGGCTGTCANTTTTTTTGCCCCCCCCCCCCCTCCTTTGGCCTTGCTTTTCAAGACTGTACATATATTTACACAGTACCCGGGGCAACTCCACAGTGGACGTTTGAAATGGCAAAGACTACTCACAACTAAAACCGCCAATTTGTGAACCGCTTTGGCTCTTATCGTAGTCTATATAACGTCACAGGTGAAGTCAAACGTAAACTCACTGTAAAACAAAATGAAAACTAGAAAAGCACTCCGAGAGCGCAGACCTCAGCCAAGGCAGCAAAGTCTCCATCCAATGCCGTTTCACCCCTAAATTGTCATCCTATAATGATTTAGTATTTTATTATTGGTTATTGATTGATTATTAATCCGGATCACCACCAAAAACTAATGATATTTTTCTGAAAATTCGCTTCGTTGCAATTGCATGAATGGAAAGCGCATCAGCTTATGAATATTTAAACCTTTTCTTACGATTCCCTCTTCCAATGGGGTTACTAAAACCGTCCCATTGTGCTCTTCAACGTCATTGGTGAAGCCAAACTAAATCTCAGCATAAAACAAAGTCATATAGTAAAATAATAATAATAATAATAATCTATCTAGGAACGCTCCGTGTCGGCTTTTCAAATCAGTGCTCGTCTAAATGATGAATTTTAACAACTTTATGATAATACCGTGTTCGCAAACTGGCGATGCGCGGGATGAACTACATATGCACGGCTCACGGCCTATTGATTATCATGGCAGATACACATGTATACATGTACAGCCAATCTGGTCCTCTCTGTGAGAAAGTAGAAAGTTTCCATTTGACACATTCCCTATCAACGAAGCTGCTGTGGCCTCGTGGTACCTACGCCGTCTTGGGCACAGTTAGACACTTCTACGCGGGTTCGAATCCAAAGCTTTTCAATGAGATTTTTTTGCTCGAAATAATTTCTAATAATTGCATTTGATTACTATAAGAGGAAACTCGTACGTACGGAGGGTGGGTGGGTCGGTCACGGCGCAGTCGGTAACGTGCTAGGTTGCAAAAAATACCAAGCCATCAGCAAACTATGATAACGGCAAGTCACGGGCTCAAATCCCGGATGACGCATGTCAGTTCACCTCAACAAAGAGGTAGACCAGCAATCGAAAACGCATGCAGGCCCTCGTGTGTCCCAGCAAATTACCTTTTGCATTAAATCCGGTAAAGTTTAGAATTAATGACCATTATCATAAAGTCTGCGTCGTCAATTATATTTCTTTTTCTCTTTGCTTTCTCACTCTTTAACATGATACTTAGACGGGGATGGTCATTGATCTCTATCCTTTACCAACTACTCAACAGATCAAAATTAAATTGAGTCAATACCTTACCCAGCATGGCACCATGCATGTTATGCAGGCCTTTCATAAAAAAGCACTCTATTCGTGAGTATCAGCAAGAAAAGTTTTTTTCGAAAAGTTACATTGCCGCTATCGCTTTACCTAATCATACTTTTTTTTTGCCCCCCCCCCCCCCCAACCCTCCTTTGGCGGCTTATCAAGACTGTACATACATTCATAGAGTGCCCGGGGCAACTCCACAGTGGACGTTTGCAATGGCAAAGACTACTCACAACTAAAACCGCCAATTTGTGAACCGCTTTGGCTCTTATCGTGCTCTATATAACGTCACAGGTGAAGTCAAACGTAAACTCAGTGTAAAACAAAATGAAAACTAGAAAAGCACTCAGAAAGCACAGACCTCAGCCAAGGCAGCAAAGTCTCCATCCAATGCCGTTTCACCCCTAAATTTTCATTCTATAATGATTTAGTTTTTTGATTATTGATTATTGATTGTTGACCAAAAACTAATGATATTTTTCTGAAAATACGCTTCGTTTCAATTGCATGAATGGAAAGCGCATCAGCTTATGCATATTTGAAGCTTTTCTTACGATTCCCTCTTCTAATGGGGTTGCTAAAGCTAAAACCGTCCCATGGCGATGCGCGTGATGAACTACATATGTACGCATCACGGCCTATTGATTGTTATGGCAGATATACATGTATACATGTACAGCCAAACTGGCTCTCTCTGTGAGAAAGTAGAAAATTTCCATTTGACACGTTCCCTATCAACGAAGCTGCTGTGGCCTCGTGGTACCTACGCCGTCTTGGGCACAGTTAGACACTTATACGCGGGTGCGAACCCAAAGATTTTCGAAGATTTTTTGCTCGAAATAATTTCTAATAATTGCATTTGATTACTATAAGAGGAAACTCGTACGTACGGAGGGTGGGCGGGGCAGTCACGGCGCAGTCGGTAACGTGCTAGGTTGCAAAAAAAAATACCAAGCCATCAACAAACCATGATAACGGCAAGTCACGGGTTCAAATCCCGTATGACGCATGTCAGTTCACCACAACAACGAGCTGGCCTCACAATCGAAAACAAATGCAGGCTCTCGTGTGTCCCAGCAAATTACCTTTTTGCTTAAACATCCGGTATAGTTTTAAAGTAGTGTTCAATATTGACAATAACTTATTGCTTGTCATCATCATAAAGTCTGCGTCGTCAATCATATTTCTTTTCTCTTTTTGCTTTGATCTCTATCCTTTACCAACTCAAATTTGAAAATTGAATTGAGTCCATACCTAACTTACCCGGCATGGCGTCATGCATATAGCCTTCTCATAAAAAAAGCTATCTGCTCGTTGGGATTATCAGCAAGAAAAGTTTTTTTTTCAAAAGTCATATTGTTTTTCAAACGTCATATTGTTTTGTCAACTCCACAGTAGACGTTTGAAATGGCAAAGACTACTCACAACTAAAACCGCCAATTTGTGAACCGCTTTGGCTCTTGCCGTGCTCTATAACGTCACAGGTGAAGTCAAACGTAAACTCAGTGTAAAATAAAATGAAAACAATAAAGACTTGGTGCCTTAGATATATATATATTATAAAACTCTGTTAACATGTTTATTTAATTCTTGTATGTAAAAATAACTAAAGATTTTAAAGATTCTGTTGTAAATACCTGAATATCACATTGGCATTATACTTTTTTTAAATTAAAAAATTAAAATAACGACTATCAACGACGTCCATTACATTAATGAAATGACTAGAATAGTCAGTGGGTGGATTTTCGTCAATGTTTAACAAAAGAACAAACAGTACAAAATCAACAGTTCCCTATTCTTGCGATATAGGGAGCCTATCTTGTTAAGTGAACAGTGCACAGTTCCGAGGGCTCTACTTCCTCTAACTGGGTTCTATTAGCTCCCTCTGGACTGGGCTCCATTTCTTTAATAGTCTTTAACATGGCAAGAATAAACTAGTGTTTTCGGCCATAAGGCCAACCAGACCTTCCACCTAACAAATTCTCATCATAAACCACTTCAAAACTAGTTGTTTGAGAAGTGAGCACCACGTTTAATACATCTTTCTCAATGCGTTTCCAATACTTTTTCGGCGTATATCCGTCCCTCATTGAACGACACACCGTGACGATTTTAGGAGCGCCGTAAGTGTCTTGGTGTAAAATTTCTCGAAGTTGTCGCGTCCTTTCGTCAATCTCTGGCAAGTTTGGCGTATGGAATGAAACCACAGAGTCAAAGGGGGTATTTGCCCCATGACAGATTTTAAGTATGTTACCCCCTTGGTCGAATATTATAGAATTAGGCGAAGTAATCAGGCAAAAGCCGACACTTCTCAGTGTCTGTAGCTGAGCTGCAGTCAATTTCGCCAAATGTTTAACAAGCTTTTTGGCGGTATATTTGATGCCATTGTGCTTAAATTGCTCTGAACAGAACATTTCTGATATTGGCTCTTTAGTGTAAGGTTCGTTTTGTACTATCTTCATTAATTTCGGTACGACTCCATCCACAATCTGTGGGACTGTGTCTCCGCAGCTATTGCCAGTATTAGAGGTAGCTCTGTTGCATTGCTCTACAACGATATCAATCAGCTGCGTCAAAAGACCGTCTGCTTCTTGTTCGTGATAAACGCTTAATGGACAGATCATTTCTGACACAAGATCGTCAATTCTTTGCACCAAATCCCATTTTATTCCGGAATTCAACAGAACTTCTGCTCCGCTCTCGCAGCCATAGTAGTCTTCGTCAATATCCAAAACAAGCCGCGATCCGGGTTTCACCAAGGAACCGTCTTTCATCATGCGTACAGCAACGTCGTCCCTTACTTGATAAAATGTGACAGAATTTTTTATTTGACAATGCGAAGCAGGTATTGGAATAAATATATCGTCAGACTGTGACTTTGCGTCCCTCGTCGTTTCTTGCTTTTGCCTGGAACTCTCAAAATGATCGTAGTCCGCATACATGCAGTATCTCTGTCCGTTTTCCACCTAAATATATGGCAAGATGGTGTTCAGGATTCTTGATCAATCAATTTATCATTTATTTAATCTATAGTTTTAGAACGATAAGATAACAATCATAACAATCAACCATTTCGCTTCGTCGGCAAATAATCTGTAAAAAAAATAAATAAAAAATACGATTCTCAAGTGAAATTTTCATCTGAAGCTATTACATAGAGTACATATTGTGATTTATCAATTAGCCAAACTAAAAAAAACTGAGACCCATTCAGAAATGCAATATTAACCTCGCACATGCAGAACTTCTTTTCCAGCTCCCTAGTGGTAGCAGACTTCAACCAGAACCAGCCGACGTCGGTCTCGGAGACCTCGTACCCTAGGGTAGAATTCGGGTGTTCCTGCTCGTTGTTCTTGTCCCAGGAGGGCCATATCCACACCCAGCTACTGAACAAACCGGTCGATATGGCACCCTGTTGGTGGACCAGAAGAAATTTGAAAGAAAAGATGAAAATTCTACAAATGATACATGTAGGGCAAACGCCTTTTAAATATTTCTTGTGAAAGTTCAAATTATGTAAATTTAACAATTAATTTTGGGCATAAAATGAACGCTTTGTTGGTAATATTCAAATAACCACAACTTAAAACTTCATTAAAAGAAGATGTTTCTATGGCCACATTTGCGTATAACAGATACTCATTGAAATGTTGACATTCAGTAATCCGAACCTCATTGGAAATGAAACAAAAACAAAATACTTGTAATAACTTAATCTGACAGTTTAAATATAATATAAAACACCGATAAAACTGTAAAATATTTATAAACAAAGCTTGAAATGATTTTACTGCATAGAAAATAATTAAAAGTAAACCACAGAATTTATTTTACGTTTTAGAGGGAATCCCATTCATTCTAAAGATAGAGCAACATGAATGCATTACCCCTGGAAGAAAATAACGTCAAAATATTTCTCATTTTACCAATATAAAAGCGTCATTTCTTTGCAGCATTGCCGCTAGCTCCTTAGAATTTCTTGGTCGATGGAAGAACGGGAAATCCTCGATCAACTCCGGCGGTGCGTTGTCACTGTGACCGTCTACGTGAATCTGAAGAAAATCACAGTAAACGCTCCAGAAACCTCGATTCGCTGACACAGAAAAATCGCAAAAAAGAGAACATATAGGTCCGTAACCAGCAATTTCAAAATGGGGGTTCTTTTTCCGAAAAAGTAGACCTTTAACAGTGAAACCTTGGTGTGCCTAGATCAAATTTTACCCAGAATGGACCTTTTCCTAACAAAAAAGGCGGTTCTTTCGATCCCCCCGAACCCCGACTGGCTACGGGCCTGACATATGTGGAAGCCTTTAATTAACGAGATATCAGATATATGAGGTACTCCAGCACTAATATTGTGCACTTTTTATGTTAACTAATTACACGTACAATAATTGAAACAAATGCTATATTTGTCTTACCAGAACGTTTCCTTGCTCTGCCAATAACCCTTTGTTTACCGCTTCATACCAATACCGTAGAACTGAAATAAGGATGAAAAGAAGTGGAACCTTATTTAAATTATTTTATTGGGTTATTGTTGCTGAAAGTACCCGTGGCATAGTATCATAGTTTGATGATAAAATGATCCCCTTTTTCAGAAAAAAATCCCCCTTTCAAATTTATATGGCCATTGCAGTCCTTTAAACTAGAAGAAACTTTATCTTTACAGGAGTTCTTGCGTTTGGAGGGGCCTGTTGTCAAAATTCACTATGGAAAGCAGAGTACAGTATGTATAGTGTCAGGGTAGGCTGATTACTACGCCGACAAGATATCATAAATAAACCTTTAAAATAAACCCCCAAACACTGTGTCACTACAGGCCGTCAACTTGAGGAACCATTTTCATTACAACCCGACATATAGTTAAAAATGACCCCTCTTTTTAAAATAAACCCCAAAGTCCGGGTACTACACGTGCTACAGGCTCTCTTCTTAGGATAACTCAATTATTTTAATAATAAATACTGCTACAGAGATTCTCAAACTGTGCACACGGAAAAGAATTAGAACGACGCCGCGTTGTAACTTCCACAGGATCTGTTTACTAAACTAAAAAATTACATTATAAAATCAAAGCCAAATCTCAAATATGCAGATCTATCTCTTCTCCTTTGTTCTCGTATTCCTCAGATTTTTATATACAATTCTAATAATTAAAAATGTCAATAAAACAGTCTGCGGCGTTAACCACTTGCCTGACTGCCAATTTTAATTAAATTAAAAGTTAAATTGGACCGCACCGGTTAAATTCCAGAAAAACGGTCAGTTATATAATCCAATCCAATCCGTTAAAAAAATGTTCAGGTTAGTGGTGAAGTCTATTTCTTTTAAATAACCTTTTCTGAAAACCCCACATTTTTGTTCTTACTTGTGATAGGAAATCTGTTTTCTCTCAGTGTGTTAATTTAATTTATTATTATTATTTTCTTTTTTGAAAAGTGGACTGGGCCAGTGAATTTTGTGTCGGGTCAGTATATTCTCAGACCCTAGTAGCCCGTCTGGTCTGTAAGTTGAAAAGTATTTGGCAAAGACTGATCAAATAAATCATGAAGTTATTGGTTACTTGTACTAAGTTCAACACATGCCCGCCCCTCTAGAAGGCAGGACTACGTATTATCTACTTGGTAATTCTACAGGATAACCAGGCTTCAAACAAAGACTATAGTAAATTTGAACTTCTAGGTGTGAAATGTTATCTAAAGCTACTTGTGCGTCATACATGCCAAATTCCAGTATGTGAACAGTATCATTTATGCATCGTGATAAAAACCATAACATGTCAACTTCCAAAGATTTCATTGATAATATAAAGATTTTAAAATGTTATTGACAGATTATTTTCTTATACAGTGGTTCCTGACATAGGTTGCACAGGAAAACTAACAAATGAAGATCAAAGAAACTACTCACAATGTCTCAAATCCAAATCGTGTAAATACTGTCAGATGAGAATAAGCCTACTGTACAGATTGTAAACCAATAATCTAATTCTTGAAAATGAGTTGGAAGGAAAAAATAAGAGTTAAAAAAAAAACAATACAAAAAAAAAATCGTGTCTGCGAAGTAAGCAAAAAAAAAAAAATAAATAAATAAAATAAAATAAAATAAAATAAAAAATCGGACGTGCGTTATAGAAATTAATAAAGCCGATTGATACCCTATATAATTCTACAACAATCATGAACCAACAGAAAACCAAACTAAATCAGTGCATAATAATCTGAACCGTCTGGCTACATAATAAACTTGGATAGGATCCTAGATAAGCTTAATGTGTATAAATGATAATAAATGTTATGTAGCCCCCGTATCCGGGTCCATGAGTAAAGCGCAATCCCTCTACAGGCAATCTGTGTGTAAGTGGACGGACTGAGTCAACTATACTGTTTCTGTGCCCCTCACGATTACTTTACCTTCATGGTGTTCTTCTACAACGGCAACGGTAATTTTGCCAGACCCGCCACCAGCAGAAGAGAGAATCATAAACCACAGGCCTGTTAGAATAACTGTTACAATCACAATTGACCACAAGAGCCGACAGCGACGTCCCAGCCTCCAGAACATCGTGAAGCCAGCGTCATCCCGGATTCCGTATATCAGCGTGAGTCAGTTGTATATAGGTCAAGCTTCGCTATTTTTAATCATAGGTCATCAGTGCCGACGTCATATAATACTTAAATATTCCGCCCGATTATTTAGCCTAATGGAACTACGGACTTGGAACCTAATTTTTATGTACAACACAGATATGTCTGTACATATAGCGGCACCTGCGTCTGTCGAAGCCGCTGACGTCGTTACCGTCGCCGTCGTCGCCGTGCACTTTCAATGTTAACAAGTGGAAAACCGTTTCACCTTTGTCTTCAAACTTACTTAACTGATGAGTTCGAAAATAAGCTTGATCGGACAATTTTTACAAAAGTTATGCGGGTTTTTTTTTTTTTTTTTTTCGCTTTTTTTCAGCATATTTTTTACCACCATTACACAGATAACATGAAAACCGTGTCATATTTTGCTTTAAAACTTTTAAGCCTGATTAATAAGAGCAATATACAGATCAAATGTGAAAATAAGCCTAATCGGTTCAGTTTTGATGAAGTTATGCCTTTTTTTGTATATAAATGGTTTTTACTCAGATTCAATTCTTAGGCATTTTAAGCCTCATTTATGCTTTTGTTTGTCGTTATAAAAGTGTTAAAAATAGAAGTAAACTCGTTTCAGTACAGTTATAATTATTATTTTTTTAATTTTGGTGTTTTCAAGGTGTGACTGACGTTCCATGGGCCATGACACTTATATTTTATTACTAAAATTGATGGTCATTATGTTGTCAACCATTATGTATGACTGGATTCCCATACCTAAATCCCATACCTAGGTTTACATCCACAAATGAATGGGAAGCAAACTCCCCATCACTGGGAAAGTGGGGGGGTCTCCGTCATGTTACACCGGTCTCGTTCGTACACAACGTGGGAGAGGAACGGTTTCATTTATACTATACATTTAAACCGCCTTTACTTTCTCCATACAAAATAGTAACGCTAAGAATCATCTCGTTTTGCCATTGCCTTTATACGTGTCCAAGAGGACTAACCTAGACAAGTTAAAACTTTGTAACTATCAAAGGTTGCGAGAGGGGAAGTCGTCCGTCCGCGAAATATCTGAACACCTTTATGAAGTGTAAGCTTTTAAAAACAAAAAAAAACAAGTATCTCATTCATTTTTTTATTTTCATTTTTTTGTCTTTTGCAGAAAAGAAATTTAGTGTCTCTTGATTAAATCCCACAAATCAAGGGTTTTCTTGGTTGTCCTAAGCATCTGTACGATCTTTCTTGAGAGGACCCTGGAAAGATATATAAATAATGTGAAAACAACTGTTAAACTCATGACTCTAATGTGACAGTGGTTATTGGTTGTTACGTTATGCACCACGATAAAGGAAAAATCATAATTCGATTACAGAGACTGCTACCTTGCTGAAGGTGTTGACCAATTTAAGCATGGGTGAGATCAAATTGTTTCCAAGTTTTGAAAAGAGAAGCATTTTAATTTCTCTTCTACCTGCACACTCACAATTAAAACGCTAAAAATGATTAAAAAAAAAAAATAATAAACTGACCAAGAAGTTTCTCTTTTCCTCATGAGTCTGGAAGCGGCCATGGCCAAACTTGCTGGAGGTATCGATGAACTTGAGACTGATCTTCTCCAAGGCCTTCCTCTTGGTGTGCGTCAGCAGAGACTGGGGAAAAATCATGAAATTACATACCTCGACTCTTTGGAGTTTGTAATCTCCTGCTTACAAATGTTGTCCAAATACTTTATAAGACAAACATTTTCTGAAGCAGTTTATCTAAATTTACTACAACTGCAGAACTTCCATAACCTGTCATTTAGGCTGTCAAAACAATATAATTAATTACAATATATTAAATTACACATCAACTCACCTTTCTCAGAGTGAGGACTCTCTTCTTGGGCCCCACAGTGGCTCCAAGGACCATCATGTAGTCATTGTTGACCTCCCCATAGTGGGGGAACCCGCCCATGGGGGTGATGGACTTCTCTGTGATGTCGTACTCAGTGGAGGCATTGTTCTTGATCACTGAAATACATTAAAATCATCGTTATTTCAATTTAAGCCAAGTTGATCTGGCTGGTGATTGTAGATTCTGACTTATATAAGTTGATAAAAAGAATAAATGTCAATATATTTGGATGTTTTAACTTGGGGGAGTGTTTTGTCGCACACAAAGAAAGAGCACAGTCCAGGGATACATGGATCCTCTTGCCTCTCAGACCAGTTGTGAATGCTTTTATTTTTCTTCTTCTGCGCCGTCACCACTGCCACAAATACCAACCCGAGTCAGTAATCACCAACAGGACAACACAAGTAGCAGAAGAGGGACACAATTCCGAAGTAAGAAACTGCCTTGTGATACTGTAGAATCACCCACTAGTTCATAGTGGCATCTTGTCTCCAAACTCCTTTCACAAATTTTTCTACCAGGCTGTCAAAAGTTGCGTCAATGTTTTCCAAACTCTCCATTTCTACTCTCCACTCACCTTTGCCATCCTTGGTATGGATTCCTTGCCCAATACGGTAGATCTTCTTGTTGATCTCCGTACGATGATGGTATCCCTTCTGACCAGCTCTGGCCACAGAGAAGCCAACACGGGCAGGATGCCAGGCTCCAATACAAGCCACTTTCCTCAGACCCTTGTGAGTCTTGCGGGGAAGCTTCTTGCAATGCCAACGAGAAGTAACACCTAGAAAAGTTATGTATCTTTAATAAATATGAGCTAGACAAATATAAGAATTCAGAAAGAACTACAATATACACAGTGCTATTGATCCTCAACGAAAAAGAAGCCCTTTTTGTAGTCATCAGCAGGAAGGCAGCATGGAAAATTCAACAGCGTGAAGTCTGAATGTGTCTTGGCGAGACACTTTCCATGGTCTCTCATCACATGACAAACGTATGTTTAAAATTCTTAGATGCATCAATGAACAGTAGACTAAAATTTGAACAAATTCTAACACTTCCAAATTGAAAAAGCCACTACCAGGGTATTCAATAAACAGGCATCTTAGCAAAATCAATTTTCATAAGTTATAATACTCGGCAATCTGCTACTGGTTCTCACTGTAAAGTACCAGCACAGCACATCAAATAGTGAAGAATGAGGGACTACCTCTCACCTTTGTACCCCTTGCCCTTGCTGACACCAATGATGTCTATCATCTCGTCCTGGGAGAACACCTGACTGACCACAATTTGTTTCTCCATGTGCTCCCTGGCCCAGGCAATCTTCTCAGAGATACTCCCGCCGTTCAGCTGGATCTCCATAATGTGGGCTTTCTTCTGGCGCTTCTTCAGCAGCTTCATCTGTGGAAGAACATTTAATATTATTCACTGTTCATATTGCTGAAGCTGGTTTGTTAAGAAATACCATCAAATATTTATTTACAACGGCAAAACAAAGTTCAAAATGGTATGAATGAACTGCTATTCTTTCAAATTTCGGTTGACTAGATTTGTAGCACAGGACGGTGGACCAGGTTTCCATAGGATTGCAAGCAACGGCTACACTTCGACTTGCAACAAACTTTGGAAGTTAATCAAAATTTAGGGAGTGGGGTTAAAAACTGGCTGCAGAACTTGTGTATTTTTATTCTTAAATCAGTCATGAGTCTAAGTTAAAAAAAAAATCTGAACATTTTTCAGAAACTACAAAGACCTAACCTAAAATATACCATCAGAATTAAAAACTGCAGAATTCTGCATTTCTGGGGGAATAGCTCATGTCTATTAAGTTGGGCATTAAGAGACATCACTAGTTGCATGCTTGGGATGGGATGGAGGGGGAGAGGGGTTACATCTCCAGAGTCAATAGTTTTTGTATACCTGGGTATGCACAATAACACGGATGACTTTGCAATACTTGTTCATCTTCTCAAAGTCTTTCTCAATGGCCTTCTTTCCATCCTCATCCTGCCACTTCTTGGCATACTTGGTAAATGCCTTCTTCTTGGCCTTGTACCTGTTATGAACATGTAGACAGTCTCATCATGCAGCAAGACCCACATGAGCGGAGACTGAACTACAAAGTTGCAATTGTTGTCCATCGACCAAAGCCGAGCGGGACATAAAACAGTTGCTGCAACGAGGCAACAAAACATGGAAAATAAGTTCTGGTTAGATTTCAACTGAGTCAATTTACATAAATAAAAAGTTCTCATGTTTTGACTTCACAAAATAAAAAATCCATACAGTGTCAAATAACAAAAGATGTACTGATATTTTTTGTTTTAAGCATACTACTCAGAGATCACCAATCAGTCACAGAGTTTCAGACTGGGGCGGTATGAATATAATCACTGTAGCATTCACATTCAAAAAATGAATCCTATTCCTATGAACTACATAAATACTAAGTAAAATTATGATGATAACTAAAGTAACCCACACTGAATTTAAGGCTCTATTATCAAAGCCTTTCAATCTACAATGTACATTACATTACATCACATACCAGTTCTTGTAGAAGCGCCTTCGGCATTCTTCACTCAGATGCTCAGCAAAAATGGTTTTGAAAGTGCGCAGGCCTCTAGGGGTCTCAATGTAGCCTACCACTCCAACCACAACAACTGGGGGAGTCTCCAAAATGGTGACTCCTTCAACCACTTCCTTCTTGTTGGTTTCTGTGAAAAAAAAAATTAACTGGTGAATACGATCCAATTTTAAAATGAGACATTAAAGTTAATTTGCCACATTGAGACATAATTGCTAAGTGGTGAAATCACCATGTCAGACACCCAATAATGTAAGGCTATAATTTCTCCAAATTCAAATATTACAACTATAAAATCCTTGAAATAATAATTCTTTCTGGAATTTACAGGAAGGCATGGCTTTGGCAATGGCCTGGCATTCAGAACGAAACGATTAAATTGGAAAATGGAATTGAATGTGGAACCCAAGAGCAGAGATGGGTTGAGCTTGGATTCGAGAGTAGAGGAATATTCATTTTGGCGGTAAATCCCATACAGAGTATTTTAAAGTTTACATTAAAATATCAACTTACTTGATCCAGGTCTGTCCACATCTCTCACGATGTGGGTCATGCCTGCTTTGTAAGCAAGAAAAGCAGTGAGGTGGACAGGCTTAGATGGGTCATCCTTTGGAAAGGCCTTCACTTTTCCCCGATGTCGTACACTTCTCTTCTTTGGCAAGAATGCCAAAGACCCATGACGAGGGGCGGAAAATTTTCTATGTGACTAAATGGAAAATGTGAAAAGTTCATGCAAAATTTTTTTAAGGGTATGCTAGTTTCTTGACGTTTTAATAAGAATCAAAATACCAATGAGTTAATTTCTTTCTTTAATTATTTTTATCTTTCACTGATGTTCTCATAATAGTCGGATGCAGGTAGATTTTTTCAGAGCTGCTTTTCAACGTGACCTACCATGTTGGCTGCCACTTGTAAGAGAACGATAACGAGGCTCAGTGGACTAAGGGAGTTTTTGAGTTTTTTGTTATACTGTTTTTCCATCATTTATATCATACTCATTTTTACAGCTAATAACATATGAAAATCACTTCGTTATGTAGTTTTTAAAATGTTTAATCCTTGTATCCTTGTATCCTAGTATCACATAGACTTGGGTGAGACAAGCTCAAGGATGGTTGTCGTTATATTGGCTAGGGACTGGACAAAGTGTTATATTTAGATTTTCAGCGGTAAATATTATTGCGTAGAATATTGAGAATTTCAAAGTTTTATTTTAATGTATAAAGAAATAAATTACACACTGTTAATAAAAAGTTATATTGTACACCCATCAATTGCGACATTTACCATCAAAAAGTCGAAGGTCAGATGCAGTGCTTGCAAGATGTCGGACGACGAGAAAGGCAAAGGACCAAAACGCAGTGGGCTACTTACTAGAGTAGATGGCTTTTTTGACATTATGACACGGCCGGCATATTGGGCAAAGGGTAAGTCTGAGTTGACATTAAACGAACTTCAAAAGCAAATTTTCTTTATCTGGCTGTGATCTCTCCGTCTTAAACTTATAGTAATACATACTGGTAAATGTTCAAATTAAGATCGCATTCACAACGAGTTGAGCCATGGTTTTACAAATCCTGGAGCTAAATATGGCGGACGTACATGAAAGAAAAACCGCCTAATCTTTTAATAGTCTCTCCGCCTCTCACACGCCTCCCCATGCGTCGTCCCTGCGGGGGTACAGTCATTAAANTGCGCCGCCCCTGGGGGGGTACAGTAATAAAACCCCGCCTCCATGGGGCAACACAGGGGGGGGGGTGTGAGAGGGGGAGAAATTATAAAAAGTTTGGGGGGTTTTTTTTTTCATGTACGTCCGCCATATTTAGTTCCAGGATTTGTAAAGCCATGATTGCAAAGATTGCAGCACCAACTCTTGTACTTAAAAATGTAAGTTCTTAAAAACTTTTTTTATCACAATACTAGTAAGCCTGAGGCATGAAAGTGGATGTTTGCACTTTTATTATTTACTAATTTACTTATGAAACTGCTGTGGTTTATTTATTTTTTAAATTGAAAATATTGCTAAAAGTATTACCTATTCTTACTTCAAACCTTTTTTGTCTTGTTTTTCAGCCAAGATGGATTCCATGCAGGAAAACCATAAAAATGTTTACTACCATAGAAAGTATAATCGGGTGCCAACAATTGACCAGTGTCGTGTAGGAGATGAAATCTGCATGTATGAAGCCAACCAGCAGTTTAAAAGAGATTTGTAAGTTTTCAACCACTATGCTTAGAGAGTGGGGGTGCTTCTAACTGTAGGATTGTTTTAAAGAGTATAGAAACAAGGGCTGGCTAATACATATTAGTTTTAGCCCTGAAGCAGTATTAACAAGAAATTATTCAGGAGAGGCCATCCCTGGCAGTGTGATGACAATATTGCTGAAACTTTCAAGAAAAATATTTTTCAATCCTGTAACCATTTGTCCCCGTGCTTGATTTTAACTTTAAATTTGTATATTTATACCAGTCTTGCCTTTTTGTAAATTAAATTGCCAAGAGAAATGAATTGAAAAAAATTGCACTCTCTTTCAGCCTTGTTGACAAGGAGAAGATGACCCTTCTCAGAAGACGTGTTAAACAATGTGCTATTAACAATGAATTCAAGGAGGAAGTGATGTTATTCGAGTCATGCAAGGAAATAGAAGACTTGTATAAAAATGCACTGTTGGCATATTCTATCAAGTGTAAGTTTTCATCTGACATTAAATATCCCATTTTTAAAATAAATTAAAATACAATATATTACACTCATCTTCTGGCAAGGTGCTGTTTTTATCAACAGAAACTGTGTCATCACTTGTGTCTGCGCTCTACATTTTCACCGGAAACGGTGTGACTCAATTCTCAAACTTTGTGGATAGAGTTATGGCATTAGATCACTTGTTTAATTGAAGTTTTTTTTTTTGTGTGTGTGTGTGTGTGTGTGTGTGTGTGTGTGTGTGTGTGTGTGTGAGAGAACCAGTTTTCATTCTGGCATTTTTAAGATGTGAATTCCAACCTGTTCGACAATTTCCCCCAAAGTATATATAAGTACAAAAGTAAAGTACAGAGTAAATAGTTCAAATCTTTCATTCATTGTATGACTATGGCTCTATTCCCATAGATTTTAGATCGATCTATCCCCGCGGGGAGTCTCACTAGATTACTTTCAGATAATCCGACTTAAATGTCTGTCCCGCCTACTACAAGCTGTAAGGGGGTAATTAACTTTCGTGTCTGCCCGGCTGACAGCTATTTAGCGTGAACCCCCAGGGAGTTAGGTCGATCTAAAGTAGGTCGATCTAATCTATGGAAATGGGGTGTATTTCTTAGTGTGATGATGGAACCCAAGGATAGAGAATTTTAATTTCAGAAAACAAATTATTTTCATAGAGTACAAGTACAGAAAATTTTATGAAAACTCTAATCAAAGTATATTCTAGGTAAAGTGTGGTTAAACAAATGATATCACACATCCAGGTAACCCGTTGGTGAATTGACTGTTACTTTTAACTGCTTCATTATCCCCCCATTGATTAAGTAAGCCTTGAATCAAGGTGCATCTCTAGGGAATGGTGGGGTGAACAGATTTTGTCACTTATACAGGTATCCCTTTGATTACCTGTCACTATTAATAGCTTGACTACTATCCACCTACCCACTACACTTAAAATGTTCATTAAATATGTTTACCTGTTCATCTGTTTACCCCACCTTTACCTGGAGAATGGGTGGTTATACTTTGATTAGATATTTAATAATACTTTCTCAACTTGTACTCAATGAAAAAGGAATTTGTTTAAAAAATTTGTTCAATGATGAAGTTGTATTATCACACTAAATATAAATAAAATGGATGAAATATTTTGAACTTTAATCTCCTTAATACTTTATATTCGTATATAAATATATATTCCTTTGGGGGGGGGGGGGGGATTGTCCTAGAATCCACTGGTACATAATAACAAAACTGATGGCGATTGTGCTATGAAGCATAATGTGATAAATCACATGAATGGTGATTTCCTATATGTGTTATCAAGGACAGAGGATCAAAATGTAGTCTGTGATTTAGACTGGGTTCCCATGCCTAGATCGTTCTAATTGGATTGACTCATCTCCAGGGGGTTTCTTGTTAAATTGCTTTTAGCTTAAATGGCTTATAATGTGTCAGGCACAGCTACTGAACCTGCTAAACGATAGTTAATTACCCTCTTACAGCTTCATTGGGCATGCAAGCAATTGTTAGCAATTTAGTGAGAACCACCTTGGAGATAGATCATTTCAAAGTTAGTATGATTGTCTCTGGGAATGGTCTCTTAGATTTAAATCAAGAATAACTCCAGTTAACTGTATACATTTAGCCTGAAAGAATCAGTTACTGATTATTTTTGATAATGATATATTTCATTTCATTTTGGTCTAACAATTCACATCTAAATGCTTTCAGATGGAGAATTGGGCGCATATCCCACGGCCAAGTCCTGTTATATGAAGCAAAAACATCGTATGATATGGGAAAGACGTCATGGCAAGACAATTACTGCTCCTGAACGTTAGGCCTACTAACATTTGTTATTTCTAAGTGTTGATAAAACCTACCTTCAGCAGCACTGACGTGTTACCAAAATGCACATCCAGTTATGGATTTATTAAGGGATAATAAAAGAACTGAATTATGGCATCCTGGTCCAATTTCAGAAGTAGCAGGTATTGGAAAATGCTAACTTTGGCACAACGTAAAAAAATTTCGTGTCCTGATAAGTTTGTTGATTGACATTGCTGGGGAGTTTCTGAAAGTATATTAGGTACAATAGATGTTTTGCACTAAAGTGGGTTGAGCAGTTTCCAGTTGCATTTATATCTGTAAGGGTGTGACTTAGATTACTTGTTACGTCTTTTTCGTTACAATAAACATGAAATACTTTTCTAATGTGTGATACGTATTACTTAACATTTTTAAATGTTCATTAAAATTGCCAAAGGAAAGTTATGGATTATGTATGTAAAACTCAACTGGCATGAAGAACAATTTCGTATTAGTTAAAAGTTTTATTGATATTAATCACTTTACTTTGACATGAAAATTGTACGAATCACAGCTGTTTCACAATTTTCTGTTACAAAGTAATGAGTAATATCACTAAAGCAGTAACTAAATTTACACTTCCCTAGAACCATGAACAATCTCACTGAGAACAGTTAAATACATTTAATTTTATTGGACAAAGGTAGAAAATCAAATTCCATACAAAAGAAGTTTGTACAAATATAGTTACATTAACATAGATGGGTATAAGATATACTTCAGCAATTTTGTGGGTTGTATTTGGCATAGTCGATTTCATGATCTAAGAAAAAAAACTTCAAAAAGAAAAGAATTGAAATAGTTAATATAAATGATAGCAGGTCCACTTTGACACAGAAGCTTGAATCAAATCAGCAGTAAGTTTTCTTGTACACAAATGACACAAAAAGTTCACTAAATCTGCCAGATACATCAAAACAGGTCTGATACGCTTACACAACAGTCAACACCATATCTGATGTTAATTATATTTCAAATCAACACGTTCTGCAGTAAAGCTCTACTCACAGTGTATGAATGTGCAAGATCGAAGGTCTGAATTGCAGTCTTCCTCTGCACCACTGATTACATGCTAGCATACAACCAAGGTAACTGTTTATTGTTACAGTTTTTTTTTTTTTTATTTATTTACTACTCTACAGTAAACCTGAGATTGTATTGATGTCTATCGCATTGAACGGGGGTAAAAAAAAATATTACACTAAATCACAGATCAAAAGGCAGAAAAAAACTTCCTATTACAGAGAAAAGTAAATATCCCTAATAGATGCCCCCAGGACTTTGCATCAGTGATTGTTAACCTAAATAAAAATGATACAAAAAATTGCGCACTGAATGGCAGCAAAGAAACATACTTTCTTTTTGTTAGTTGACGAATCCAAAAGCTATATTCAGCAATCTAAGTGGACAATGCATGACATCACCAAAGGAACTTGAAAAAATTTCTTGTAATTCTTTAAACATTGCTTGCATAATGCTAAATGTCTCCTAGAAAAGAAAAGTCAATGTCTCATTTCTAAAACAATCAAATTGACATTTACGATGAGTTTATCCAAATGTGATCTATCTGAACACTAAACAAATCAATTCACAGAAGATGAATAGAGTAACCAAAGCTGTTCCCATCAAAGTTACAGTTAGTGTACCAGTCCAGTTTAACTAGAGGCCATATTAAGACTGGCATGTTGGGACTAATTAACTGGAGAAAAGAAGTTCTCATCCCATCTGACAGAAGATTGGACTATTATACCTATTGCCTTTTGTAGTGTGTAATTCTATTTCTAAAAGTAACAAAAAATCTACATAAGCTTCTTTGCTGCTTCCGAAACACTGCAAGCAAACCCTAACAACTTTTCCTTGAAACATATGGTTACCCTATGGAGATAATAGTTTATAAGCTGAGCACCAAATTGGCAATAGCCAACGAAGCTTGCTATTTATCTTGATTTGTAAGAACAAAATTGAAAACTGTGAAAATATCTCATAAATAATCTGCATTTATCTGTGTAATTTCTGTTACAAAACAATTTTAGGTGCACCTTGCTGGAGCACCAATCTTAGATTGATACAAATATATATAATTTTATACATCTATGAATTTTGAAAAACTGGACTCCAGTCCATTGCCTGGTCCCATCTTGATAAAAGAACCTAGGATGAAAGTCACATGTCTAGTGGTGGTTTGTCACCAATTTCTGCTCATCATGGCAACACAGCCTGTCAATGAAAGATAACATGGCCAACATGAAAACTTCTACACCAACACCACATAGCTGTTAGCTATTCAACTGAGAACAGTTGGAGTTAAGCCCATAGACTTTGACCCGGGGCTAACTCAACTTAGATTTCTAATTACAAGATTCAAGATTCATTACAGGCGTATTTTCTTCTGCGAAATAGAGCCTTAACAGATTAACATAATTACTTTGGTTACAATACAGAGTTGTTAACAATAAATTAGCTCATTTGGCAATGATAAAAATAGCTCTAGTACTCTCATAAAACATCATTTATCTCATTAATCAAAATCTAACCAAAACACTAACTTAACAAGACGTTCATATCGATCTGACAAAGGGTAGTCTAAGGAAGCTATATGCTTAAAATACACCGATATGTTCTGCAACATTGTTAACAAATGATAATAATGTCTTAATTTTAACCCCCTTTACTACGATTGTGTTCTTCCAATCTTCACTTCCATATTTTCACAGAACTTGGGAGTAAAAGGAATACAGTTAAAGTAAGAACAGTGAGGGCATTCATAAATGGGAACGACGTAAAACAGAATAAACAATACCACAATAAAAGCTATAACAGTCACAACGGACAACACTATTCCTATAATTTTCCTCTTTTTGTCCCAGTCCCCAAAAGTCACATAAGGAAGCAGGGCAAATGAGAGCAGGAAGCCTGTAAAGAAACCGACTAAATGGGCGTAGTTGTCTATCCAGGGCAGCAGGCCCAGGATAAAGAGGGCCAGGATGACGCCACCTTGTTTCAAGAGAGCTTTCCAGGGGGTCTCGATCAGCTGCCAACTCTGGAGGACTTCCACAAACAAACAGGACAGGATGCCAAACTGGGAACCCGCAGGACCCGCCTAAAACGAGATTTGACAGGTGCTTTTAAAACTGTAAAACTGATTTTTTGCACAACACTGCATTGAGACGAAATAAGGATTAAGTAGTCTTTCAAAAACAAACAAAAAATCTGCTTCAAGATAACATTACAATAAGCTGTCAATGTACAAAATTAAAAAGTTGTGAGTTTCACACAAACCAATGTCAAATAAACATTTATTTTGTCCAACCTCAGCAAAATATACGTTTATTACTCATTTAATACATACCTCCACCTGATATGGTAGAAATATGGCGCTGGCCAAGTTACCAGCTATCCCAGATACAATGTATATAATGGAGACCCTGATCCACCCTGCTAATTTCTCCACATCACGCATAATCAGCATTTGAAAGATTATAGAGATCACCAAATGGAAGAGACTGAAATGATAAAAATCCAATGATTCAGGTTATTCCCTTTCACAAGTTCCCTTCCCATCGTTTGGACAATCAAATTTAATCTACTTAACTGGCCATGTCAAGCATTACAGCCAGGCTACTAAATTTACAATCAATTGTTTAAAATGGTGCGGTGAAAACTGAGAAGAACTGTGAAAATTGAGTGTTGTTCACATACCCTGCGTGTAGGAAGAGACTGGTCCAGAGGCGGTAGAACTGGTCCGGGTACTGGGGGTCCAAAAACTGGATCATGCCACAGATCTGGTTCATACAATTCACCTGAAAGTGAAACATTCTAATTAGGAAGGTTTCCAGACAATTTTTTATTGTTATTTAAGGTGGATAGGGGGTAAATTAAAAAGTATTTTATCAAAATAATACATTTTTGTAACTATTTGTTAAATTTTGATTTTGACACACTCTAGATAAAAAAGGTAAAAGCAGTGACTCCTTTAGACTGAATTGTAATTTTTGTCGTAATTACATGATTTACAAAGATTTTTAAATATCTCAACACTTCAGTTACATCTAACTTCACCAAATCACCAAATAAACATCATCGGGGATTCATCACATTTCCTACCTGTGAACAAAGTGCAGCCTCTTTATGGTAATATCCCTTCCTGAACTTACAGTGCTCTGGGGTGGTGATGATACACTCTCCTTGGATCCCAATACAACATGGCCGCCCACGTATTTCGCAAGTCATGTGTGGGTGGAAAAGACTTACTTCTGATTCATTGCCATGGGTTAGATTTTGTTCAGTTCTGACACATAACTACAAAAATAAATGAAATATTTCAAACAACCTTTCCATGATATCTGAGTTTTCCACTATCTTTTCTCAAACAAATTCCAATATTGTGTTTTTAACAAACAATGACATATTACTATATGTAATATCAAACATTATCAAAAATATCAAGTTGAGAAATAGAATTCACCCTAACCTAACAGCAGTGTCGATACATAATAAAAGCAAAAAATCAATATTAAGAACCTCCCATTACTTGATGGTGTGACAACTTACAGGCCATTTTGTGATATCATCTGGCCACACATATGGCTCAGTAGATGCTGGAGTCAGGCAAAACCTGGAAAGAAATCAAGGTGAAGATCTGAAAACAGTCTGTACATTCTAAACCAATTTAAGGAGTGAATCATAGATCTTCTTTCTAATAATTATACTGCAGTTTTGATAATTTCATTCCCCAAATGTCTGATGTAAGCGAATGGTGATAGTTTCCTTGTTTTCTTATTGTTTATCCTTGAAAAACAAGGTCAAGGACCAATAAAAAAATGTAACTTCATTGTGGAAACATTTACTGCAACAGATAACAAAAGGAAAGTAATTCTAACAAAACTCACTCTGGATCCTGGCCACAGACAGAGCCATTTGTGCGGTTGTTGAAGCCCAATCTTCCGTCTTCACCCCACTTCCACCATGTTGACAAATATGGCTGGAATAAATCAGAGATACACAAATGATAAATTTTGAAACATTTGATCAGCAGCTGGGACTTTTTATGAATAAATGCTACAGAAATGATGAAGGCCTCTAGGCCACTCCCCAGCCGAAATCCACAAAAATATATCATATTCATTTGATCTTTGCACCGTAAGCTTTGCCCAATCCTGACATTGGCATTACAATATACATAATTAAATTTTACACCGACTTCCATTCATCAACTCTTAATAAAATAAAATAAAATAAAATAAAATAAATGAATTAAAATAAAAAAAGGACTCACAGAACAAGTCCGGCGAGGTTTCTGCACACACCCATCCTCTCTGGCATTTCTAATACAGCATGCAGTTTCACGTTCTCTACTTTTATCTGTTTCTAGTGCAGCAATCACATTCCTGTCGCGACGCATACAGGGAGAATATTTAGCGCCAAGATGAATCAGATCAGCCTGGAAGGTGACCAAAGTTGAGTGTAACTGGCATCTAAATAGTTCATCTAATATAAAAATATGAAAACACCAAAGTTTTCGGCTTTCTGCTCCTTTATCAGGGACCTGTAAAGTGGTCATGGTGAATTTGTTAGTTATGTGTCGGAGAATTTTGCTATTAATGTGTCAGATGTTAAAGCTTGTTACTGATAAGGACTGATGTTCATATTTGTTTACAAAGATGAAAAAAAAACTGAAAAAAGTTTGTCTGTGTAGGTACCTTTTTTCACTGACAACATGCTGAATAAAAAAATGCAGCAAACTTATCTACATTCAATACGGTTATTACCTATAAGCCTTCCTTTTTTTCAGTGCTTGTATATAACTCATAAACAATGACAAATTCCACTATAAAAATATGGTTCTGTAAAACAGATCTAATTTCATTACTCAAATATTGTAAAATAAACCCTTGTTAGAGGTTCTTCTCACTTACTTGTCTAGGTCCTATCCACATGTTGTCTTTCTCATAGTATGCAACTTTCTCTAAGGCTAAATTGGATGTCAGTACCTAAAAAAAAGGCAAAGCATATTTTTCTAAGATAGGAAATCACAAAATCTGAAAACAATAAAGTGCCCCATTTTTAGATAAACTTGAATATTTGTGCACCAGCTTTATATAATGTATAGCAGGTCACCTTGTTGACAATTAAGAGAAAAATAATAAGCCTCACCACATCTGATATGAGAGTGTCAGAGAATCCTACAGGTGCTATGCCATACACAGACACAGACACTATGTACACTGCTATCTGCACAAATGTCACCCAGAATGTGAAGAACGGCCTGAAATTAAGGATGATACAGTTTATATATATATATA